ATTATGAATATGTTATTGATTATGGTTTTGTGTGTGGTAAAGAATGGAGAAAGACCCTAAGGTTGGAGGAAGCGGAGTAGAGAATAACAAGCCGCCAAACGCCAACACACACCAAGGTAAGGGAGGAGTGTTTCCATATAATTCGAAGGGTAAGCTTATTGAACTTGTTATTATGTGAATAGAGTAATGAGTGTCATTGAATGAAAGTTGTATTGATTCGCCTTTGTGGCATAGACTTGCCCTGTGTGGTATTGATTCGCCTTTGTGGCATAGACTTGCCCTATGTGGTATTGATTCGCCTTTAGGGCATAGACTTGCCCTATGTGGTATTGATTCGCCTTTGTGGAATAGACTTGCCCTATGTGGTATTGATTCGCCTTTGTGGCATAGACTTGCCCTTTGTGGTATTGGAGTAATTGTTATCAAATGTGGTTGAGAAATTGTAGAATGATGGTTTATTGGATTTTGACCATTGAATTATGTTAGTGATAGATTTATATATCTGTTTGCATTATAATTATTATATATTGATTTATAAGTACTGATTATCGTGAATTTGATGTCTTACTCCCTTGTGTTTCTTGTTGGTGTTATTTGTGATAATCGGTGTACAGATAAAGCTAAGGACTAGCGGATTCAGATGATGTCGTAGTTTAGTTTCTTATCTTTTTTTTTTGTAATAGGGATACTCATGTGTTGTTTTGTATTATGCACGTACTTGTATCTATTACTTGAACGAATTGACTTGTAATTACGTTTTTAGGGATGGGATGTACGATTGATATGCGTGCGGGGACTGAGTCCCCTTTTGAAATTAAAAATGTGAAGTTTATGGGTTATGAACCCCAAAGTACTCTTGTAGATTAATTTGTTATTACTAAGATCTAATCGTAATTATATTAAGTATGTAATTCCTAAAAATAGAGAGCGGAAGGATAGTTATTAGAATTTGTATTCTTAATAATAAATGGACGAAACATTTTAGGGTATAAATTGAGTCTTTACAACTGTGGGGTGCACCAGTGTTATTGGTTAGAAAGAAAGATGGGAGTATGAGGTTGTGCACCGACTATAGACAACTAAACAAGGTCACAGTTAAGAACAAATATCATTTGCCTAGGATAGATGACTTTATGGATCAATTAAGGGGTGCGGTGGTATTTTCTAAGATTGATCTCAGTTCGGGGTATCATCAAATCAGAGTGAAATCTGAGGATATTCCTAAGACTGCCTTCAGGATGAGGTATGGGCATTTTGATTATTATGTAATGCCCTTTGGAGTGACGAATACCCCAACAATTTTACTAACTACATGATCAAATATTTCATCCATACATGGATTCATTCGTAATGATATTTATTGATGACATTCTAGTTTACTCGAAGAGCTGAAAGGAACATGTAGAACATCTAAGAGTGGTGTTGGGGATCCTAAAGGACAATCAGTTGTATGCTAAGTTATCAAAATGTGACTTTTGGCTGGAATCAGTGAACTTCCTTGGGCAGGTAATATCCAAAGAGGGAGTGGCAGTGGATACTTCGAAGGTCGAAGCAGTAATGGAATGGGTAATACCCAAGTCGGTTACGGAGATCAGTAGTTTTCTAGGATTGGTGGGTTATTACCGGAAGTTTATATAGGGGTTTTCGAAGTTAGAATAACCACTAACAAAGTTGACCACAAAAGGAGAACCATATATATGGACAACCCGTGGTGAGGAAAGTTTCCAAGAGTTGAAACGGAGGTTGACTACTACACCAGTGTTGGTTCTTCCTTGTACTGATCGTGACTTTAGTGTGTACAGCGATGCTTCAAAGAAAGGTTTGGGATGCGTTTTAATGCAGGAAGGGAAGGTTGTTGCTTATGCTTCACGAAAGTTGAGATCACATGAGCAAAACTACCCTACTCATGATTTGGAGTTAGCTGGTGTGGTGTTTGCACTAAAGATTTGGAGGCACCATCTTTATGGTGTGAGATTTGAAGTTTTCAGTGATCACAAAAGTCTGAAATACTTGTTCGATCAGAAGGAACTGAACATGAGGCAGAGGAGGTGGATGGAATTTCTGAAGGATTATGATTTTGGTCTGCAATATCACCCTGGAAAGGCCAATGTGGTGGTAGATGCTCTTAGTCCGAAATCACTGCATGTGTCCGCATTAAAGATCCATGAATAGAAATTAATTGAGGAATTCTGAGATATGAACTTGGTAGTTCAAGTAAAACCCCATAATATGATTTTGGGAATGCTCAAGGTCACAAATGAGTTGTTTGACCAGATCAGAATAATGCAAGTGGAGGATCAGGAACTAAAGGTCAAACGATTTTTAATGACTAATGGGAGAGAAAGGGGTTTTGAAGTAATGGTAGTGGGATGTTGAGATACAAAGGAAGACTGTGCGTACCTCGTGATGAAGAATTGCGGAAGAGCATTCTTGAGGAATCCCACAAGAGTAAGATGAGCTTTCACCCGGGGACAACGAAAATGTATCAGGATTTGAAGTTGTTCTAGTGGTCCGGAATGAAAAAGCATGTTGCATTCTATGTGTCGTGTTGCTTGGTTTGCCAAAAAGCTAAGATTGAACATCAGAGCCTGGCAGGAGAACTTCAATCATTGGAAATTCCTGTGTGGAAGTGGGATAGCATTTCGATGGACTTTGTGTTGGGTTTTCCAAAGACTCAGAAAGTGTATGATTCGATATGGGTAATAGTGGATCGGTTGACTAAGTCTGCTCACTTTTTACCTATGAACATGAGATATTCTTTGGAGCGATTGGCAGAGCTGTATATCCGAGAAATTGTTCCATTGCATGGGATACCAGAGAGTATTCTATCGGATAGAGATCCTCGTTTCACTTCCAAATTTTGGACTAGCTTGTAGTCTGCTTTGGGGACTAAGTTGAAATTGAGTTCCGCTTATCACACACAAACGGATGGTCAGTCGGAAAGGACCACACAATCGTTGGAAGATCTTTTGAGGGCATGTGTTTTGGAAAAACCTGGAAATTGGGATAGTATGATGCCCTTGATTGAGTTCACTTACAACAATAGTTTTCATTCGAGTATCGGGATGGCACCCTATGAAGCGTTGTATGGTAGGAAGTGCAGAACTACAATGAGTTGGTTTGAAACTGGAGAGAATTTAGTGTTGGGACCCGAAGTGGTTCGTGTGACAACCGAAAAGGTTAAGAGAATAAGGGAGGATATGAGGATAGCACAGAGTCGGCATAAGAGTTATTATAATAAGAGGCAGAAACCTCTTGAATTCAATGAAGGGGATCGTGTGTTCATGAGAGTGGTTCCAACCACTGGGATTGGAAGAGTTTTGAAATCCCGTAAGCTTACCCCATTGTTGTCGAATCTCCACAATGTGTTTCATGTGTCTCAATTGAGGAAGTATGTGGGAGATCCATTCCATGCGGTCGAGCCTGATTAGATAGAAATGAAAGATAACCTGACATTCAGGACCTTCTCAATACGGATCATGGACAAAAGTGTCAAGAAGTTGAGGGAGAAAGAAATTCCTTTGGTGAAGGTACTATGGAGCCAACTCGATGAAGGGGATGCAACTTGGGAAGTGGAACGTGACATGGTGGAGGATTACCCACATTTATTCGAATAAAGGTATGTTTAATTTTCGGGGACAAAAATTCTCTTAAGAGGGGGAGGATTGTAACACCCTAATTTCTCATCTTGTAAGCTTAGTGAGCCTCAGTAAACCTGGGAGTTACTGGAGGATTCTCGCCAGGGCGAGAGATCCTCGCTTGGGCGAGGGTATTAGTGTTCTCCCAGGATTTTTCCTGAGAGTCTCGCTTGAGCGAGAGATGGCTCACTTGGGCGAGGAAGGTTGGCATAGTTACGGATGGATCCTCGCTTGAGCGAGAACGTCAGGGCTGGAATTTTAAAATGGGCGGGATTTCCTCGCTTGAGCGAGAAAAGAGTCGCTTGAGCGAGAACCCAACGAGAGAATCTTAAAATGGAAACCCCAAACACTTTTACGGTTAGAACTTTGAGAGAGAAGAGAGAAAAAGACAATTTTGAGAGCAAGGATTCGTGGGAATCGACTAGAAGCTTGAGAAGAGGTAAATCTCTTGATTTTAACTCTTCTCCTCCCTTTCAAACTTGTTTTGGGGTATATGGGCTCTCTTCTCAAAACGTGAGAAACCATGGAAACTCTTCCTTTGGAGTTGTGGTTCGTTTTATTTAACTTCTCTCTTGAAAACTCTTGGTTTAGAGTTAGTTGGCAAAAATAAGAGTGATTAGGGGTTGATTCATGAAAACCCCAAAATCCTAAACGAAAATAATGTTTAAAAGGGGAAAGTTATGTTAGAAACGTGGTTTATGGTTTCTAATGTTAAATAGAGTGAATATAAATGCTTTACATGTTTTAAATTCCTAATGAAGGTGATTTTGGAAAATATAGGAATATGAACTATTTTATGAATAAGTGTGTGCTAGAGAGTTGTTATGTGATGATATGAATATGTTATTGATTATGGTTGTTGTGTGTGGTGTCTATGAGGAAAAATCCTAAGGTTGGAGGAAGCGGTGGAGGAACTAACAAGTTGCCTAATACTACCACCAACGCACACCAAGGTAAAGTGAAGGACTAGTGGATCCAGGTGGCGTTATAGTGTAGCTTCCTAACTTGGATGTAATACGGATAGTGACATGTTGTTTTGTATTATGCATGTATTTGTACCCCTTTTGTGAACCATTGATATGTAACCCCGTTTTTCAGGATATTATGTAGTATTGACGAACTTGTGGGGACAGATTCCCTTTTGAATTACAAATGTGAAGTTTATGGGTTTTAAACCCCAAAATGTTTTGGTAGATTTATTGTTAATATTAAATTTGAATCATAGTTACCTTTAGGATGTTAAACATGGAAATAGAAATTGAGCAAATAATTATTAGGGATTGTATGTGTAATAATTAAATGAACGAAAAAATTTAGGATATAATTTAGGTCCTTACAGTGGCCATGACTTTAAGGCAGCCCATCAAAACCTTGTAATCTTCACGCCTCATTAAGGGTCCCAAAGTAGTCCCCACGTGCCCATTTAATATTAGTCACCAAAATGTTCCTTGAATCCGAGGCTTTAATAAAGCATATGCTTGTTTCCATACATCCTTTAAGGTAGCCACCTTATTCATCCTTGGGGGACCACGAATTTAAATCACCCATTAAAAAGGTTTTGTAATCCTCATGGCTTCATTAAATGTGGGAGGTGGCCATTAAATGTGAGCATTCAAAGTTGACATGCACCAAAATTATTCACGTGCATGGCTTGGCCTTGCATGCATGATGGTCACAACTCCTTGACTTAGTCCTTGCTTGCAAGCTTTAGTAAGTCCCTTATAATGCTTAAAACCGAAATTAACCTATGGCCTAAGTAAAATAAAAAACATGACTTAAAAATAAAAGGTGGGACATAAGACCCCCACTTATTTAATACAGTAAAATAAAGAAATGGTCATTTAAGCCCATAAGTAAATATGGCATTGGCGGGTTGCTATCACTATGTGTCCTCCACCAATGATTATCATGATTGTCATATACCTCTTCATGTTCATGAAACTTGTTACCTAAAATAATAAAAAATCATAATTAGGAATAATAATTTACAACAATGACACCTTTAATAACTTTAAAGTATCATAATACCCAACATATTTGATAACTTGATACCATTGTACTGGAAAAAAACAAAGCCAATGATGCAGAGCAATAATACTCTGGATTTTGTACTTTCGCTCCTTTTTTAGTGTTCATGCATGTACTGTTCTTGGACCATATATTAGACCACAAATTTATATTGGGTCTTGAGAGTGAAAGGCTGCCCCAATATTTTATCATCATCGAGTTTGTCGTGGCTGGCCAATCCTCTATAGTTGTTGGAAAAGAGTTTTTAGGTTGACAATCTTGTACACTAATGTCAGTTTCTTTAATGGTCGGGAATAGACCATTTAATATGAAACGAGGCTCTCCTAGTGTGGAGCATTGATTGGTTTCACAGAAACCATGGCTCCAAATCAATGATAGTATTAGTCCAGTGTATGTTTGAGCAAAAGTGTGTTTAGAGTTTTGTGTAAAAACACAAGAACAAAAAACAGTGTAGTCATCATGGAGTTCTTCATTGATGTAATGTTTTTTTCCACTCTCTTCTAATTAATTCTTTTAAGGTTAGCTTAATCTAGGAAGTATGGTCAAGGCTAAATATATAGGTAAGTTGTAAGAAGTATGAAAAAGCTAAGGCTAAATATATAGGTGAGTAATCACCATTAAGTGTGAATAGTAGAAAGCCTGTTAACTTAGAAAACGTGTAAACTTGTTAAGCTTTCTTATCCTCATGGTAAGATGAGAAATGATAAATAGTTGACACGTTGTAACACCATAATTTATCCTCTTTTAAGTATAGTGAAACTCAGTAAGTCTAGGAGTTACATGACAAATTTTATTTATTTTTTGGGAATCAAAGCTATGTAATTCTTTAGTTTAAAAAATGATTGTTGATTGTATATTAATTAGGAAAGAAGCGGCGTAGCGCAACCGTCCAAAGAATGAGTTGAGGGATAGAAACCATCAGGGGCAACCATCCCTCCATCCTTGATATTGTTGATGATTCATTATTTTTGAAAAAGATATTGATCTTTGTTTATTTATTTATTAGTGAAAATTGATTTTTATTATTGTTAAAATATGTATTTTATTATTATTTTGAGAATTAATCGAGTGAAGAGAAGCGGCGTAGCGCAACCATTCAAAAATGATTTGAGGACGAGAAGCGTTTCCACGACCCTCCTCCATCTTTGATTAATCCCAAAATGTAAATTTTAAATATAAAATAATTTATTAAGTATGCTTCCAACATCAAACTTTAAAAATAAGTAATTGTTAATATGAAACAGGTTTGTAGGTTTGTAGCATATGATTATGTAATTGTTAAAGAAATCAATGAACATTATGTTTTAGAGTAAATTACACTCACACCCCTGAGTTTTAATGAAATTACACAAATCACTCATCTCTTTTTTGTCCTTACACCAACCACCCCTTTCTACTACACAAATCCCTACATAAAAGTGTAATATTTTAAAGAAAAAACGTGTGATGGATGTAATTAAGTTAAATAAAATATTGTATATTGTATAACACTTCAAATAGTACAAAAACGAGTGTTTCTTTATTATTTTTGTGTCATTAAAAAATACATTAACAATTTCGAATAAATTTTTAAATAACTCTTATATTATTTTATAACGAGTCTTATATTATTTGAATTTGTCTACACAATATACAATATTTTATTTAATTAATTACACACATCATACATTTTTTGTTTAATATTACACTTGTAATTTTACTAAAACTCGGTATGAATGTAATTTACTCTATGTTTTAAATAAAGCTAACATGATTAATATAGTATTATTGCAGAAATAGTTAAGATGAACTCTGTACTTATGATTAAAACAAATGAAGGTCCACACCAAATTATTTTGGTTTGAACATGCTTTCATTGTGCCGGTTGTGATAAGAACTTGAGGCACATCATCTATTTAATTTGGGTTATTGAGTTTATCCTATGATCTAGAAGCAAAATAAATCGTTTTTTGTGATTTTTGTGATTTTTGTGATTGCAGGAATTTGTATATTTATAAGATACATGCGGTTTTTAAATTAAAGTAAATTGCAACAACTTGTTAAAAGCATGGGCTGTTTGATTTGTGCACATAACATACATCATTATCATCTTTTTAAACACTTTTTTTCATAACAGCAACCCAACATAAAAATTCCTACCTGCGTTTATAAGTACAATAATACTTTTGCATTTGAAGGTTTGAATATAAACTCAACAATACACACCAAGATGCTTTTAAATGTCTGTATTGGAAATACCTGGAAGTTTATGATGCTAACCTTGGAAATTGGATGGTGATTAATCTGATTGCAAAGCGGTATTTCCTTCGCCTTTTTACTGCTCCAGTCACTTTCTCCACAATTAGTTTCTTAGTTTCAAAATTTCTTAGAATGATACCACTCTCTTTCCCCTTAACACTACTTTTAATATGCTCTCAACAAAAAAGGTCTCCCTCTCTCTTTCAGTCTTCCTTCCTTATAAATAAAATAAAATCATAACTGACCCCACTCCCCCATAAGAGACGGAATGCCCATATCCCTAGAAACTAGGCAACTTCTCCTCGTAACAACTTACCCCCATTATCTGGTTTACTAAATCAGTTTACTTGCTCTCTTTTTTTCTTTTTTTTCATTTATTAATAATAATTTTCGAAATAAATAACTAAAAGTGTATATAATTCAAAAAATTAAATTTAAATGGTAGCAACATGAGTTTGGACCCCTTTTTATTGGCTGGTTAAAAAATGGTATTCACATCTTTACTACTGTATAATAAGAGAACTTGATGGGTGTTTAGGTAATTGAACATGCGTAATTTTTATATTCCAACTTTGCCATTATTATTATATAAATGCAAAATATACCTAAAATATATTCAGGTAATTGAACATGGATAATTTCATTCAACTTCATTTAGTAACTACCATGATATAATAACTACAACAAACTTCCACATATTTTTTTATTCTTTTCCATCAATATATCACTATTATTTCACACATTCACATACTTTTATTTTCTCTCTTTATCTCCCTAAGAAGAACAACTTTGACCCACATGAAAAAATATTCAATGACACACTAATCATTATTACAGATACAGGTTGAGAAATTTATAGAAACTTTGTGTATAAACTTAATATCAAAAAAATAAGAATGCAAGTCGACAGATAAAAAATATCGATTGACACGTAATACAAAACATAAAAATAAATTTATATTACCTTTAACTAGGAGTTAACGTTAGTGTTACAAAATTCACACTTAAATTTTTTAGGTGAATGAGAAGCCTTTTTGAATTTGTAAAAAGAGAACGAAAGTATCATTTAGAATTTGTTAGCAATCATTTAATTACTACCCTATATATCTTATGACTTGATCCTATTTAGAATGTATTTATCATGCACATTTAAATTAATTAAGGGGATCACAGGTTTGTTAATTACACACTCTACCAAAATACCAACAAGAACATTAATTCTAAGAAGATTTTTTTCTACATACTCATCCAAAACATTACCAATTATTCATTGGAATTAATTTCTTAATTCACTGAAATAAAGAATATGGAAAATTAGCGTGTTACACATATAGTCTAACATCTTTTGGCAATTAAAAAATGTCCCAAACTTTGTTTTCTTACATACCCTATTTTTACTCAACACTACTTATGGATTGTGAAAATTAATTTGGAACCTTATTAATTTCAATATTTTATTCTTACAAATAAGTCTGAAAGAAATTATAGATAATTAATTTTTTATTTCTCATTGAGATATTCTCAAAGGTACTTAGCTACATAATTAAGTCTTCTTCCTTTAGCTCAAGGATGAGATACCTCAATTATAAATTCTGATCCCCTAATTTTATATCATTGTTTATATGCATTGGTGTTGTAAAACTAGTCTCTGTCGGCCGGTTCAGTAAGGATCCAAATTCTACCCTTGAAATTTTTTCCTTATTTTAATTCAATTTCATGCATTTAACTATAAATTATATTTACTGATTGAGTGAACTTATTTAAAAGGTCTCATTTCCCTCATCACACCCAATCTATAAACCAAAAGTGACATTTCAAATCAGATGACAGAAAAACATAATTCATATTAATGTAACTTAGTAACTACCGCATACAATCAGCTATGGGTTTCCAAAACACCTATAGCTACATATATCCCGAGTTACTAGTTTCCATGATTAATGTCATGTACAACAATCATATGCATAGTTACAAATAGTTAGTTCAAGTGCAACAATGAGGTTACAAAAGAATGGTTAAGAGACTTCAAAATAAAAGTCTCTAAGCTCCTAATCAAAAACACCCATACTCCTTCCACCTACCTGCAATGGGATTAACATTGACAATTCACCAAAGAAACACAAAGGAGTAAGTCGTTAACTCAATAAACATCAATGTAAGTTAATCCACATTTAATAAGATTAAATAAACGGTTTAAAATCAAATATACTTAAAACCATCTTCATCGTTCATACTTTTGAAAAACATGCTACATAACTTGAGCTAAAGTTTGCTACATTGCTTGAGCCAAAACTTGCTGCATTACTTGAGCCAAAGTTTGCTACATTGCTTGGGCCAAAGCTTGCTACATTACTTGAGCCAAAGTCGCTAACCCATCATGGTCGGCTAAAAACGAGTTTTATTTCCATTGGCACTCCACCAATACATAAACGGTAAATACACTCCTCGTTGTTACAAACATACCCATATATGTTTATAACAACTAAGTGATTTACGATTCATTTTATTATTCCGAGTTTTATTTCCATTGGCATTCCACCAATACATAAACGGTAAATCCACTCCTCGTTGTTACAAACATACCCATATATGCTTATAACTACTAAGTGATTTACGATTCATTTCATTATTCCGAGTTTTATTTCCATTGGCACTCCACCAATACATAAACGGTAAATCCACTCCTCGTTGTTACAAACATACCCAAATATGCTTATAACAACTAAGTGATTTACAATACATTTCATTATCAACATCATAAAATCCACACATTTTCTATCACAGTGCATAAGTTAAAGACTTATCCTTGCCTCAGTGAGTGTTGGGTTTGGTTCTTTTTAACTTCTCAAGTTCCACCGACACCGCCTCCAACTTTAGGATCTTTCCTCATCCCACCATATAACACAACATTAGTCATTTATTCCAAATATCACATAAACAACTTATATTGCATTATTTAACCATACAAGATATTCATCATATTTTCAATGTTGCTAAACTACTTTCATCATAAGTTTACAACTATCCAAAACATACATAATCATCTCATATTTCAACGTTAGAAAGTAAAATCATCTTCTACCTCTAACATTTTACCCATTTTCCATCTTAACTCCATTTCCACCTTAGGGTTTTGGGGTTTTCATGAATCAACCCACAAACTCTTTCCATTTTCGAAATACTAACTCTAAACCAAGAGTTTACAAGAGAAAAACCACATAAAATGAACCATAACTCAAAAGGGTGAGTTTCCATGGTTTCTCATACTGTGAGAAGAGATCCAACATATCAAAAATGGGTTTCAAAGAGAAGAAGAGAGTTGGAATAGAGAGTTTTATCTCTTCTCAAGCTCTTGGACGAGAATCAAAGCTCTTAGACCTTGGGAATGCTCTCTTCTCTCACCTCTCTTCAATTCTTAACCTAAAAATGTATTTGGGGTTTCTCTCATTAACTTCTTTCACCGGGCTCTCTCTTAAGAGAGCTTATTCTCGCTCAAGCGAGAAAATCCCGCCGATTTTAAAAACTCAGATCTGACCCTCTCGCCCAGGCGAGGCATCTCACTCAAGCGAGGATCCTCTCGACCAAGCGAGGATCTTACAGCCTCGACAGGTCCAAAACATCATTTTTCTCGCCCAGGCGAGCCAGCTCTCGCTCAGGCGAAACCACTCTCGCTCAAGCGAGCCAACTCTCGCTCAGGCGAGAATCTCTCGCTCAAGCGAGAATCCCAAGACTACAACTATAATTTTAAAGACTCAAAATTAGGGTGTTACAATCCTCCCCCTCTTATAAGAATTTTCGTCCCCGAAAATTAAACATACCTTGATTCAAACAAATGAGGGTAATCCTCCCTCATCTCCCGCTCAACTTCCCAAGTAGCGTCTCCTTCGTCCACTTGGCTCCACAACACCTTCACCAAGGAAATCTCCTTGCCTCTCAATCTCTTGACACTGGTATCCATGATTCTCACGGGCAACGTCGCAAAAGTCAAATTATCATTCAACTCTATCTGATCATACTCAACCACATGAGATGGATCCCCAACATATTTCCTCAATTGAGACACATGAAACACATTGTGGAGGTTCGACAATAGTGGAGGTAACGCAATCCGATATGATATCATCCCAATCCTCTTCAATACTTGATACGGCCCAATAAATCTCGGAGTCAGCTTGCAAGATTTCAACACTCTACCAATTCCGGTAGTCGGGACCACTCTCATAAAAACATGATCTCCCTCATTAAACTCAAGAGGTTTCCGCCTCTTATCATAATAGCTTTTCTGCCGATTCTAGGCGATCCTCATATTCTCCTGGATTTTCTTGATCTTCTCTGTCGTCTCTTGGACCAATTCGGGTCCTAATATCAGGTTCTCCCCAGTTTCAAACCAACTCACTAGAGTTCGGCACTTCCTACCATACAACGCCTCATAAGGTGCCATCCCAATACTCGAATGGAAACTATTGTTGTACGTAAATTCAATCAAGGGCAACATGTTGTCCCAGCTCCCCGGTTGTTCTAAGACACAGGCCTTCAAAAGATCCTCCAATGACTGTATAGTTCTTTCCGATTGACCGTCCGTTTGTGGATGATAAGCCGAACTCAATTTCAACTTGGTTCCCAAAGCGGACTGCAAACTAGTCCAAAAGTATGAAGTGAAACGGGGGTCCCTATCCGATATAATGTTCGACGGTATTCCATGCAAACGAACTATTTCTCAGACATACAATTCTGCCAATCGCTCCAAAGAATATCTCATGTTAATAGGCAGAAAGTGCGCGAATTTAGTTAACCGATCTACGATCACCCATATCGAATCATACCCTTTCTGGGTCTTCGTAAAACCCGATACAAAATCCATGGAGATGTTATCCCACTTCCAAACAGGAATTTGTAGGGATTGCAGTTCTCCCGCTGATCGCTAATGCTCAATCTTGGCTTTCTGACAGACCAGACAACTCGAGACATACAAATCCACATCCTTTTTCAACCTAGACCACCAAAACAGCTTTTTCAAATCTTGGTACATCTTGGTAGTCCCCGGGTGAAAACTCATTTTACTTTTGTGTGACTCCTCTAAAATACTCTTGCGCAATTCTGCATCACGAGCCACACACACTCTCCCTTTGTAACGCAACAGTCCACTAGGGTCCGATGCGAAATCAGTTTCCCTATCACTCAGCATCAAATACCGTTTAGCCATTAGCTCACCATCCTCCGCTTGCATTACCCGGATTTGATCGAACAGTTCATTTGTGACTTTAAGCATTCCTAGAATCATACTTTG